TTTGCATTTTGAGACCCTTCATTCTGGGGACTTTTCATTGTCTGTATTCCAAAGTCAATTTTCTCAGTGTCTGCTCTCCCAGGCGTCTGGGAGAGACCCATACTCTTCTTTTGGTTTTTCTTCATTTCTGTAGATTTTTCTCCCTTTACCCCTTTCCCTCCCCCTCTTCAATTCTGTTTTTGAGGGAAGGTGGGGTTGCTTTTATTTCTCTTCTGCAATGACCTGTTCTTCCTTATGAGGGTCTTCTGGTTTTGTTCACTTTTCCCTCTGCTTTACAGTCTGTCTATTCAGCAGTTTGCAGTCTTGGTCCCTAGATTTTAAAAGGGGGCATATAGGAGAGGAAAATAATGGAGGAAGGGGGGGGTCAATAGGGAGTTAGAAAGAGAGAAGCGCGAGAGGGAAACAGATATACATACCATCTATCAGGTGAGAACGAGACACAGGGCTGGGAAGAGGTGAAGAAAGACACGTAAGAAAGAGTACTGATAGCTACATAGTACTAAAGAGTACTGAAGCAACACAGAGACAGGGCAATAAAATCGAGAAACAGTGTAAGTCAGAAGGTAAACAACAAACGTGATCTAAACCAACAGTTACAATGATAAAATCATAAGTCAAAATGAGCGAAAGAGAGAAGTGCGAGAGGGATAACAGATATACATACCAGCTATCAGGTGAAAAACAGTCACAGGATCGGGAAGAAGTGAAGAAAGACACGTAAGAAAGATTGCCTAAGGAGTACTGATAGCTACACAGACACAGGTCAATAAAATCGAGAGACAGTGTAGATCAGAAGGTCAACAACAGACGTGATCTAAACTAACAGTTACAATGATAAAATCATAAGTCAAAATAAGCGAAAGGGAGAAGTGCAAGAGGGAAAACAGATATACGTACCAACTATCAGGTGAGAGAGAGACACAGGGCTGGGAAGAAGTGAAAAAAGACAGGTAAGAAAGATTCCCTAAAGAATACTGATAGCTAAACAGAGACAGGCCAAAAAAATCAAGAAACAGTATAAGTCAGAAGGTAAACACCAAACGTAATCTAGACCAACAGTTTCATGAT